TGGAGAATTTAGGTAACACAGCCAATAAGCGAGGTTATACAAACGGTCGCTGATGCAAGTTTGTCCGAGACGCTGTTTGCAGAAGCCTCGCACAAGGATGAAGATATGATAAGGCGTCCAGCATATAACGAAGGCACCCAGTATGAGTCCTATAATGCGCAGGGCCTTGAAGGCCCGATTCTCTGTCTTACTTCGCCTAAACTGTTGCTGTATTTGCTCTTGATTTTGTTGGTGACGTGGATTGATCCGAAATCTCGACGTCTTTTTAGAGGAAGATGTCGAAAAGATATTAATTGCTGAAGAGTTTGTGAGCTTCAGGAGAGCCTGTGGAGAGGGGGAAAAGGGAGGAGTGATCCGACTGCTCTGAGATATTTTCAAAGAACTCAAACTCGTAGATATTTGATGGGTTTCATTCTTATCAGGGCTAGATTTGGGAAGTATAGCCAAAGTAGATTGACCAGCTGAAGTGAATCTGGAAAGGCCATCTTGCATATCGAAGAAAGTGTTTGAACAGCAGCTAGTTGTCTCCGCCCATTTCGGTACTTCCATGTGTGTACGAATCACAAAAGAAGGCACATTAACAGAACTCATTGGATTGATGTTGCTCATCTGATCCGAATTGAAGCCTTCATCAACATGAGAACAGCCACAAAAGCAAGCGAAACTTGGTCTACCGCAGAAACCGCCTTCCTGCTCTTTAATAGATTTAAAGGTTGCCATCTCTGAGGGCTTTAAAGGGACTTCTTTAATTTCCATGGCTGTATCATTCAAGTAGTTTGTGGCAGCACTCACATACGCTTCTTTGGCTGTCAGAGAGTATGCGTAGTTAGGACTATCAGCAGAAAGGGCAGTGTGTACGGCCTCTGTCCAAACGAATGCATTAGAAGGTGTTGAATCAGAGGTTAAAGGCATGGTCGAATAGGCGGAAATGATACAAGTATTCGAAGATGTGGCTTGCCCTCGGGCTAACATATCTTTATTCAAGTAATTGCATTCTTCGTCGATGAACGAAAACTCATCAAGTCGGCATGAACGATCATATTCACCGTTACCGATATTTTTCTTCGTCATTCCACTGGGAACTAAGTGGGCATCAGTAGCAAAGCCATGCACATGACCGTAGTCGGAAGATGGAGTTTTTTTCTCTTTGGGGAGAGCTCGTTTGCACAGACTGAAGTAGGGGAATGTGCCAGACGGGGAGGTTACTTGGCTTAGGTTGTGGTCAGAATTTTGTTGTAGAAGGTAGAGAGATAGTTGGTTGGATTTTAGACCAGCTTCTGGGCCAGAATACATTCCTGCATCTAAGGGTAACCCTGCTTGATTAAGGCTTTCCCGAACCTCATCAACTCGTCGCATGCGAAGCTCTTTCTTGAGACGTTTAGAAACTGCTTTTTCCTTCCTTCTGGCTAAAAAAGCCACTTCTTTAGCTCTGACGCGCACAGAGGTCTCACCGGCCCATCCGGAGCTCGACGGCTTGCTATATGAGTCGGGTGTGTAGAGGAAAGTCTTTGCCGAGGCCACCACACCCAAGGCTGAGAGCATATTTTTCCCAATTACACTCGTGCGGTGATTAGACTGCTCGTTCTTTTGAGACCAAGAGCCTTCATGGATCCCCGTACTTGTATCACCAGAAACTGAATAACATGCGTCGCAATATCTCCGTCCCATCGCTTGAAACCATTTAACATCTTGACATTTGTCTGGAACGCCCAGAGATATCGAGCTATCTGTAGCATGTCCATGAATCTTTCGGGGGCAGGTAGTTACAACTGATTCTATGTGTGAAGGTCTCATTTGCTGGTTCTTAAAGGACCTTTTCGCCTTACTTTCACTTGTTTCGGGAATCAGGCAGCTGCAGAGTAACCGTTGTCTCCGAGGGCGTGGGCTTCTTCTGACATGCCTGAAATTTGAAAAACTGTTTCTCATACATCCTCCGCTGCCTGGGAAGGAGTATATTCTATCCTTACTATCCTCCTCGCTCCCTTCTTCTTCCTCAAATTCCTCTTCATCCTCTGCCTCAATGTCATCTGACCTGCTTATTGTCAACGACCGTCCTGACGAAGAGCATTTAACAGGCACAAGTTGGTTCATGCGTTGCCGACGTGCCTCTGACTTGAGCTGTAGCTTTAATGCAACTCGGTATATACCAGCGTAGAGAGCGCAAATTACCACCAGTGTTAACCAAAAATAGATCAGGGTGAGCACAGTGTTGAATATTAAATCTTCAGTAAATTCGGCATAGCAACTAGGGCCAATTGTCTGTCTTTCTGATGCTCTTGTGGATGTTTGAGAACCTGTAAAGTATGGCCAGCCAAAGATAGAAGTAAAAAAAAGGCAGGCCGGAAGGATCCATGTTAAAGCAACACCACAGAGTACTTTGCGTTTTGTTCTCCATTGTCGGTAGCTAGCTGGAATTCGGACTGAGCAGTATCGGTCGACTGTAATCAGAAAGACAGTATATTGGCTTGTAAGGCAAGCTGTATAATCAAGGGACAGCCATAACTTGCACAACACCTCTCCAAGTGGCCAATATTCGAGCAGAAGGTAAAGTGTAAATAGGTTCATTGAGCACAGTCCAATCAATACGTCTGTTACAGCGAGTGAGGCTATGAAATAATTAGTTTGTGTGCGAAGGTCCCGCTCAACAAAGAAAGCGACAATGACGAGAATGTTTCCAACGAGCGTAGCAAGACTTAGAAAGGTGGATGCTGTGCCTATCAGGACAGTCATAGCTAGTCCTGTAGATTCAGTTGTCTTTCTACCGTCCACCCAACTTCCGTTTGCTAAAGCATCGGCTCGGCTTTGTCGCAAGTCAACCTTATTTTCAGCAAATTCTTCATTTGCCCGACTCTTTTCTAGCAGGGTAATGACCGAACTGTTTAACAGGCTTGGCTCGTTGAAAATAGGCCCAAGTTGTACACTTCGATCATGTTTAACAAACGGTTCATAAGGTAATATATCCACCTGGCGCCTGACTCGTTGCAGCGATTGCTGCTTCATCTTGCGTGATGGTACAATTGAGTTAGAAGAGGGCAAAATGGAAAAAGTGGCCATCGTTAAATTAGGCGAGCCAAATCTGTTTGAACGCATCTTCCAGTGGAGAGCCGCCGCTTTTAATCGAAAAGGATACAAAAAGTTGCTGACCGAAGACATCCGATTGCCCGACTGACTGAGACTCATTTGAAGCCTAGCTAGCCAGTCTTTGGGACTAGAGCGGTATGAATGATATGAAAGCACTTGGGGTTCTCGTAGCTGAAGGTCATTCGAATAGGCGGTCTGTGAAAGCAGCAGCATTGAAAGACCGATGAAGGATAGAATTATCAGACGACTCACTCCATCGCTTATGTTCCTTCTGCGGGTAAGCAAATTTGCTAATGTCCGGTTGGCTATAACCCCGCTGCACTGCTTGATTTTTTTTTGTCGGCCACCTGGCATATCGGTTCACAACTAAACTTTTTTAAGTATCCTAGTGCAATTTAAATGAAAAGGGGCATCATGAGACGAAAAGCCATCGTCCTGATTTTGAGATAAAAAAGCCATGTTCATCTCCTGTGTACGAATTTTAAAGAGAAAAATAAGAAAATTAAGCATATAAGAAATCTGAGTAGGTGTAGAGGATTAGAAGTATCCGTTTGGATGACATAGGGCCTATTTCAAAAATGAAATAAAAAGAATATTATAGTGAATAACGATATTAACCTACGCTTAAACAATATTTCACCTACGAATCTTGCAACCAGCATTGAATACACATAGTAATTATGCATGGAAATATATTTTATCGCCAGATTTGCTAAATGTTTAGAACTCGTCTTATTGAAAGGTTAGGCTTATCATAAGCGATCGTAGATATGAAGACCAAGATGGTGTTGCCTTTTGTTTTGTCGCAATTTTATTATTTGAGTCTTGTATGGGTTTATATAGTGAAGATAGTAACCATTATTCATTTAAATTAGCAGTAAAGCTAAACAAACACGTACAATTTTATTTAATCTTTACGTATAGTCTATATTTGCTTAGCTATCAAAATCTGAAAAATGATATTAAGCTATCGTGTTGGTATGACCACGTTTGCGCAACTTAGTCAAAACGTAAGAGAGACATTAGGGAAAGTACATAGTCCTGCCATAGTATACAAGTATAAATTGGTAGATTCCCAGACTTTTCACCGGCATTGGCAATGCGAAGCGTCACCGTTAGCACAGAGTTAGAACAAAACAAAGTGATAAGTGAAGGCGATCCCCTTGACCAATTTTCTGTTAGATCATCCTGGCATTATTCTGAGCCGCTAGTCTTTGTCATACCTACTAGTACGGCATCTATTTCGCTCAACCTTATTTCATATTGCCCATTTATATATTACCATCATTATGTGCTCTCATTTTCTCCAATGATGCCTAAGAATATGTAGCCACAATGGGAGTTAGTGAAGCGTAAACACCTGCATCATCGGCTCCATATGCCATTTGCATTGTTTCTGGCTCCACCCCCATTGTAAATATCCTTTGCTGTAATTTGTCTGACTTAATTCCCAACCACTGTTATGAAAATGAACATCTTCCCTCTTACCACTCGTAAATAGCATAAAGCGACCTCCTATTCGCTGTCCAGCCGACAGTTCCATCTAATCCTAGGGTATAAGTCAGTTGTTCAGGTGTACGTTGGTTGGTTTCCCACTGTGTGGTCAAACACGCAATCAAGCACCTCTCCTTAATGCCCACAAGCATATACCCATACAATTACTGGGGATCTATCTCTTGTCTATTACCTCTAATGGAGCAAAATCTGCCTGTTTTG